CACCATCCGGGCTGTTTCTCCCACCCAAAACTGCGGGAAAAGACAGCCCCAGCTCTCTCGCAGCGCAGCTCCGTAGCCCAGAAAGTTCCACAAAGGGGGTTACAGATAACAACACTCGGGCAGCAGAGCACAAAGGTAGTTCACATTGTGCTGGCCCCGACATCAGAATTTATGAAGGTCATTAGAGCCTCAGAGAGGGGCGTGATCTGGCCAGGGAAGGCCAGGGTTTATGGGGGTCACTACAGTTTCAGAGAGGGCTGCTGTCTGGTCAGAGAGCCAGGCAGGGGGGGTTCAAGGCGCGGGCAGCCATTCCAAGCAGGTTCAGAATTTGCACTGATTTATAGTGAAGCTGAAATTAGCTTTTCATGGCTTTGTGGCAAGATGTCTCCCAATTTTAACAGGGAATCAGGCTGGGTATAATGTCATGTCTCTAGGGACCCCTGCAGCTCCCTTCTCCTCAGAGCTACCTCCAGTGGATGCCTGGCTTGGGTACACTGTGGGTCATGTCTCTAGGGATGCCTGGAGCTCTCTTGTTCTGAGTTTCCTGAGGGAATTGCACTAGAAGCTTCTGGAATGACCCGCAGCAGGTGTGGGAAATGTGGTATTGGTGAGGAGAGAGCCCCACCTTGGGACTGAGAGCTGAGGAGAGCCTGGCTGTGGGCCCTGCTCCTTCACTATTTCATTCAGGCTGGCTCTGCAGCAGGCCTTAGGTTGTGACCCTCATCATCTGTTTAAAAATAATTTACATTAGGTATATATTGTCATAATTTGAAGTAAAATTTAGCTGTAGTTGGACCTAATGCCTTTATTTAATTTATTTATTTTTATGTGGTGCTGAGGATCAAATCCAGGGCATCACATGTTCTCGGTGAGTGCTCTACCACTGAGCCCAACCCCAGCCCTGGTGCATTTTAGTTATCCATAAGAGTGGGGTCCATTTTGATGTATGCAGACATGCATGGAGTATAATTTGTTCAGTTTCACCCCAGTATTTCCATGTTCCCTCTCTTTTCTCCTGCTCCCCTTTCTCTAGTGGTCTTCCTTGTATTTATTTATTGTTTTGTTAAACTGGTGGTTTATAGATAGACATGAAGGGGGGATTCACTGTGGTGTAGTCGTATATGTACTTAGATCGTTTGGTCACTTTCATTCTGTAGTTCCTCCCTTTTCCCATCCCTCCTCTCTCCCCCTACATCTCCTTCTATTCCACTGACCTCCCTTTTATCTTTATGGGATTTCCCTGTTTTATATTTCCTTATTTACCTCTAGTTTCTGTGTATAAGATAAAACATTTGACCTTGGATTTCTGAGTCTGGCTTATTTCAATTAGCATGATGTTCTCCAGTTCCACTCACTTACCAGCAGATGCAGTAATTTCATTCTCCTTTATGGCCGAGTAAAACTCTGTGGTGTGTATATGCCATGCTTTCTTTATCTGCTCATCTGTTGACCGACACCTGGGGTGGTTTCATAGCTTGGCTACTGAGAATTGTGCTGGCTTAAACGTTGATAGGGCTGTATTCCTATAGCATGCTGATTTTTGTTCTTTTAGGTAAATACCAAAAAAAAAAAAAAAAAAGGTGGGAGGAACAGCTGGATCATGTGATGGCTTTATTTCCAGTTTCTTGAGGAATCTCTGTACTGCTGTCCATAGTGGTTGGTTGCACTCGTCTGTACAAACAACAGGTGAGTGTACCTTTCTCCATATCCTCACAAGACTTTGTTAGTTTTTGTATTCCTGATGTTTGCCCTTTTAACTGCAGATGAAATCTTAATTTACATGTGATTTGCATTTTCTGATTGCCAGGGATGTTGAACCTTTTTTTTTTCCATGTTTTTGGCCATTTGTATTTCACATTTTGAGAAATGTGTGCTTAGTTCTTTCACCCATTTTTGTATTGAGCTATTCATTTTTCTGTTGTTACATGTTTTGAGTTATTTATATTTCTGGACATTAATCCCTTGTTGGAAGAGTAGATGGAAAAGACTTTCTCCCATTCTGAGGGGCTCTCTTCATGATCCTATTTCCTTTACTGGGCAGAGCATTTTAAGTTGAAAGCATCCCACTTATTGAGTCTTGGTTTTATTTTTTTTAATTTTGTGGATCTTGTTGAGGAAGTCAGTGCCTGCCCTGCACCAATATGTTGGAGAGTCAGGTTTCTCTGAGCCCAATCTATTTTTCCTCTGACTTACATCTTCATATTAGAAATCATTTATCTTGCTTGAATTGATTCATCTATAATGAATAGTGTCTTACATTTTAGGTTTGAAGTGCTCTACAGCTTCTGCCAAAATAATTCGTTGTTCATGAATGTGGTAATGCATTTAAGTGATGATAAGATGAATGTAGAATAAAAGGAATTGGGTCTTATAAAAACAGTGTACCCGTTGCCTTAAATTATATATATATATATTTTAGACTGGGATTTGAACTCAGGACTTCATGTGTCCTATGTAAATGCTCTACCCCTGTAAGTGAGCAACACCCTCACTTCTCTTTTTGAGACAGGATCTTGCTAAATTGCCCAGACTGACCTCAAATTTAGAATTTTCATTTCTCAGTCTCCCTAAGTAGCTGGGATTATTATGGTGTACACCACCATACCCGGGTCCTCTCCTCTTTCAGTAGAATACCTGATACTTCCATGCACTTTATGGTGGCTGGGTCAGAGCAGGCAGGGGTGGTGGATGGCCAGGGACTTCTGCCCAGGATTCAGTGAAGCTGCTGGGGCCTACTGTACCAGGTGGAGGGTGGTGGGTGAGGCAGACTGTCGCTGCCTCCGTCCAGCTCAGGTCAGTTTCCCTGAGGTGGGTTGTTGGGGTGGAAGGCTAGAGAACTAGGGGCTCTGAGAGAGTGACCACCAAGGCCACTATTCCTCACCATCTGTTGTCCCTCCTGTTGGCTTTGGCCCTCCTCCAGACCCCTCTTGCAGGCCCTGCCTTTCTTCTCCTAACCTCACCCCATCCCCCAGACCACACCCTCCACAGACTCTGCCTAGACACCTCCCCCAAGGCCCCCATGTCTCTTCTCCAGATCCCTGCCCTGTCCAGACTGTGGCCCTCCTCCAGACCCTACCCTGTTTCCAGGCCCCGCCTCTCTCAGCCACAGCTCAGGGCACTGTTTGTCAGTACATTTGCAGTGGGGCACAAAATAGCCTGTTGAATAAACATTGACATTCTACATTGGCTGAAATATCTTGACTATATCAGGCTTTCATGGCACATAAACTGAATTTAGGAAAGTCACCTTTTTTCTCTAGATCATAAACGTTTGAAATAAAATCAGAATCTGTGAAGGGTCAGGTAACAATCAGCTGTGAGCCCTAATGATCCCAGGGTCTTTTCCAGTGGGAAATCTGCAAGCAGCAGTTCCAACATTGCTATGCTAATGGATTGATTGAGGTTTCTTAACTTAGTTGTTTTGCAATGTCTGTATTTACTAGAAATATCCCATGTTGACCAGGTTTCCAGTTGTTTTTAATTTCTTCTCTTTTTAGTTTTCTACAGAATTATTAATCCTGTGAACTTCTGCTGTTTTCCACCAGCAATATTTTTAAAATATCCTTTTTGCTTTCTTGTTTTTTCATTGAGAGACTTGTCTTGTTTGAAAATTCTCACGATAATCTTAAATGATTTTAATTATTTTCTGCTTATTGAGGTGTCTTTGTGTGCTGGGTATGCAGCTCAGTGACAGAACACTTGCCTAGCAATTGAGAGGCCTTGGGTTCCATCCCAGCACCACACACACACACATATATATTTTTACATACACACAGTGTCATTTGGCAGAACTCAAGCATCAGAGGTACCCAGAGATATGTTTAAAAACATTATGTATTTACATATATACACCACAAAATCTCTTCCAGATTTAGATGAAATTTTTCTAAGAAAACATTTCAATGTCAACTATTATATTGCATGATTCTTTTTTAAACCTTTATTTTATTAATTTTTATGTGCTTTTGAGGATCTAACTCAGGGCGTCGCACATGCTAGGCAAGAACTCTATCGCTGAGCCACAACCCAGCCTGATCCTTTTTTTAATATTTATTTTTTAGTTGTACACAGTACCTTTATTTTATTTTATTTATATGTGGTGCTGAGGATTGAACCCAGGGCCTCGCACATGCTAGGTGAGTGCTCTGTCGCTGAGCTGCAACCCCAATCCCCTGCATGATTCTTAAAACCACTGTAGATGAAGTTTCCTTAGGACTCAAGTCATTACAATGTGCAAGAGACAAGTCAATAGCTGAGTTGTGTAATTAAGAAATATTTTTTACTAAAAATAAATTTTTAAATAAACATTTTCTTTTCTATTTTTCAATTTAGAAAGCATATCCCTATGTCTTATTAAAGTTCTACATTTGTTTATTTATTTTACGGGGTCCTGAGATTCGAAGCCAGTGCCTCACACATGCTAGGCAAGTGCTCTACCACTGAGCAACACCCTCAGGCCCTAAAGTTTTACATTTATAAAAAGTTAGTTCTCTTATTCATTGCAAGCAAGGGATTGGGTTTTCTGATGAGCATGATGTTTGTATATTGCCAGGAATTCTTGTTGGAGAACTCTGTTTGTGTTTTGTATCTGCTCAAAGTATCATTGAAAATCTACCATTATGTTTTGAGTTCAGAAATTTGAATTTCTTCTTTTGAGGTTATATGTTTATTAACACTAAGAGTTATTTCATGTGAAGTGCCATAGTTACATTTTATCCTAATGATTGTGCCCCTATGTGCTTATAAGTTGGCTTTAGAGCAGAGTTGAGTATATTGCACATCTGCTGGGTTTATTAGAAAAGTACATACAGGGCCTCACATATGCCAGGCAAGTGCTCTACCACTGAGCTATACCCCATCCCTTTAAAAATCTCCCAGGCTGGCCTTGAATTTGCAATCTCCCTGCCTCAGCCTTTTTAAAAAAAAAAAGAAAAAAGAGAGAGGGAGAGAGAGAGAGAATTTTTTAAATTTATTTTTTTAGTTTTCGGTGGACACTACATCTTTGTTTGTATGTGGTGTTGAGGATCGAACCCGGGCCGCACGCATGCCAGGTGAGTGCGCTACCGCTTGAGCCACATCCCCAGCCCCCCTGCCTCATCTTTTTGAGTAATTAGGATTCTTGGCATGCAACACCACACTTGGTAAAAATTTAATTTTGTAAAGTCCATGCTATCAATATTTTCTTCTGCTGATTGACTTTTAGTATTGTGTGTTAAAACTCATCACCAAGGGCTAGGGATGTAGCTGAGTATTGTAGCTGAGGTTGTATGTAGCTGAGGTTGTCCACCATGTGTGCAGCCATGCATTTGATCCCCAGTTCCAGAATACACACACATACACACATACACAACACACACACAGTTACCACTCTCTAAGATTACATGGATCTTCTTCTGTTTCTCTTTAAATTTTTTTTTCAAATTTTAGTTATGGATGACTATGAGTCAATTTTTGTGGAAATTTTGGTTTGCATATACTTTCATTTCACTGAATATAGTTTCCAAAGCTTGTTCAATCACCACTTTTTGACAAATAGTGTTTAATGGGTTTCATTTCCACTTGAATTTCCAAAATCATGTGCCAGGTTTCTCTTCTTGCAACTAAAAGGCTCAGGGGTCACTCCAGGTAAACTGGGCTGACTGGGCTGTGCAAAATGACCACACAAGAGACACAAATACCTTTTTCTTTGGGGTCAATGTGAAGGCTCCTCTGACCTTAAGGGTCAGCAGGAAGAGAGAGTGAGAGCATGTGCTGACTCCTTTTATTGAGGAGAAGCTATTCAAATGAGGCAAGGGGTCAGGTTTCAGGGGGCTCACTCTATCTTCATGATGTTCACTGTCAGCAGGTTGCCTGACACCTGGGTAGGCCACACCCAAGGGCATGGTAAGAGAAGGGAACACACACAAGGCACTTCCATGGAAGATTCTACCCTAAACAGGGCAAGGGGTTATATTGCAAAGGAACAGGTGAGCGTAGCTTCACTCATGGGGCTGTAGCAGGACATACCATGCCCGAGACACTGACCCTTGAACCCAAGAAGGTGGGGAAAGCTCTGCCATGTTTCTGTGACTGAGTGCCTCAGCACCCAGCCGGGGACTATGAGTCAGTCATGTGCAAAGTTGGTCTCCCACACAGTTGCCTCCTGGACTCCCAGTCCCTGAACAGACAGTGGTGGCCAGGAGGAGGATGCCCACTTCCTGGGCCCCTGCTTGGCCTCCCTAAGGTCCCCGCCTGGCCCCTCAGAACACTGTATCGGGGGCTGCACCTGAGACCAGGTCTCTCCCTCTTCCCAGCCCAGCCATCCTTCTCCAGGACTGACCACTTGGCCAGGACCAACTTCACACAGGCCTCACTCCCAGATGGAGGCTCGAGCCCCAGAACATCCCTTCCTGGTCACAGCACTGCCCGGCCCTGCCCACAGCACAAGCTGCACTCTGCCACCATCACCACGGGGACCCCAGGACAGAGACTCCCGGCACCTGGCAAGCACAGCCGTCTGCACCTGCAGGCCACCTGTGTGAGCCCTGTGCTGAGCCCTCTGGAGTTGGGGACTCAACGTTCTACATCACTCTTAGCATGTGTATGTGGGAGGGCAGCGTGGAGCCCCTGTGCAGGGACAGTGCCCAGGGGCCTCTCGGGGTTACGCAGGAAGTTCCCACTCCACCAGCACCTGCAGACTAGGTACGTCCCTGAAGACCCAGAAACAGACGCTGGAATGAAAACTTGTGTGTGAATATTCATAGCAGCACCATGCACAAGGGTCAGAAGGGAGAAGTGACCCAAGTGTCCACTGAAGAGGAATAGGGAACAGGATGAGTCCATCCACATGATGGAATATTACTCAGCCCTGAAAAGGACTGCAGCTCTGACACGTGCTGCAAGTGGGACGGACCTTGAGACCTGGGGCTTGGTGAGAGAAGCTGACACAGAGGGTCACATAGTGTGGACTCCGTGGGCAGCACCTATCCACAGCAGGCCATCCAGACACAGGCAGTGGGCAGGTGATGGGGCTGGGCAGGGGACAGGGTCACTGCTGGAGTGCGGGTGCCTTTCAGGGGTAAATGGGCTGTTTGGAAGTAGAGGCGCTGGGTGCCCAGTGCTGTGAAGGAACCTGATGTCCAGCTCGATCCCTGGCAGATGGACTTGTGCACGTCCAGCACAGCTACAGCCCATGCTCAGGTTCCAGCTCTCAGTGACCCAGCACCAAGTGGAGGCAGAGAGGCCAACCTCAGAGACACCAGTGTCGGCCAAATGTTCTGGGGACTGCAGGTGACTTGTGGGGACCTTGGAGAACACACAAGGGCATTACAAGCCGAAGCTGGATGACCCTGGACAGAATGTGGGGCAGTCCCTGGGGGGCAGCAGCTGCAGAGATGATGTTGAGGTGGCCACATTTATTGTCAGCTGTGCACAGTGGTCAGGCAGGGAGCGCCCTGCCAGAGCTGAGCCTGGCCCGACCCCAGGGACCAAGGCCTGGCTTAAGCTGCGCTGGACGGTGGGGTCCCTCAGCCAGCGAAGGGGCAGGATGCGAGGCCCCTCACCCCCAGGCCTGTGACCTGCAGGAGGAGAGGGTGGAGATGAGTCCCTGGGCACGGCTGAATCTCCCCGTAGCACCAGCCACACCAGCTTCCTAAACCTCCCGTAAACGTCTCTGTGCACAGCAGGGCATGTGGGGCCTCAGGAGGGCTGTTTTCCAGGTGGACAGATGTCCCCATGGATGCTGCCAAGCCCGCTCCAGTCCCCGAGGTCAAGATGCATTACACCTGGCTGAGAAGACGTGGCTGGGAGCCAAGCTGACCCTAGCAGGGAGACCCCACTGACCTTGAAGACGTGTCCTCCCTGTGGCTCCCGCAACAGTTGCTCTGGACTCAGGCTGTCCACTGCAGAGGTCACACCCAGTTGGAGTAGTCAGGCCCCCCCTGCCCCAGAAGCAGCAGGACATCACCCTGGACACTGGCATCTCCAGGGTGCACAGCCTCGTCCCTGTGAGTAAAGTTGTTACGTCCCTGAAGCCCAGCTACCCGCCTGCTGCAGGACCCCAGGTGGCCTGACCATGCCCACTCCCCAGTGGGGCCCTGGGCCTGCTGGTTCTCCCTGGCACCTGCAGCACTTGATCCCCAACTCTGCCCTGCCTCGTGGACTGCAGGGGTCAGCAGGGCCACCTGGAGCCCAGGAGCTGGAGAGGCAGGAGGAGCCTCCCTGGAGCCTGTGGAGGGAGCTGGACACCATGGTAAGAGGTGGGTCCTGTCCACATTTGCACCCCAGAACCTGTGAGTGGGACCTGCTGTGGGAACAGGGTCTCTGCAGAGGTCATTAGTGAAGGGTCCTGAGATGGGCTCCTCCTGGGTCAGGGGGCCCTCATGCAATGGGCCCTCATGCAAGGGGGGGGACACAGACCCAGAGGAGGAGCCCCGTGGAGACGGAGGCAGAGACTGGAGTGAGGGGCCACCAGCCCAGGGCCGCCTGGAGCCCAGGCGCTGGAGATGAAGGAGGAGCACCCTGGAGCCTGTGCAGGGAGCTCAGCCGGGGACCCTGGTCCAGCCTCCGCCCTCCAGGGTGGGAGAGGACAAGGTCCTGTGGTTTTCAACCGCTGGTTTGTGGTCATTTGCTACATCAGCCCCAGTGTTCCCTGCACTGGCCAAGTGCTGAGGGACCACCCTGGCACTCCCGCCATCTGCACAGTCCCCCTGTAGCTGGACAAGCATGTGGTGCTGCCCTCCCACTCCTGAACCCTGAACACCATGGCACAGAGCACCGCATGTCCCCTCCTTGACTTGTGCACACACCTGTCTCGGGGTCCATGCGGATCACCCTGCCTCCGTCAATGCAGGCCACCCAGAGTGTCCCCGTGGTGTCCACGCACAGCCCATCTGGCATGCCTTGCTCTGGCTCCAGCTGGCACACCAGCCGTGAGTTTGCTGCGGCAGGACAGACAGAGACGCATGGCCCCCCACAGCCCAGACCAGGAGGTCACATAGCGTGGCCTTAACAACGGGAGGGAGTGACAGACCCAGTGGTGCTTCTGGGACCCCAGGAGGGGACTCGTGAGGGTGTCGGGGGAGGAACACGGAGGCTCCCACCTGGGGAGGGTGTGGTGGACTGGCCACGGAGGCCTCTACTTCAGGGAGTACGTGGGGGGCTGACCACGGAGGACCCCACCTGGGGAGGGTGGGGGGGCTGACCACGGAGGCCCATACTCTGGGAGGGTGTGGGGGGCTGGTCACGGTGGCCCTGCCCAGGGAGGGTGCGGGGGCCTGGCCATGGAGACCTTCTCCTGGGGAGGGCGTGGGGGGCTAGCAACAGCGGCCCCTACCCAGGCCTCTTGTCTGCACGTCGTAGTCATAGGCCCGCACAGAGTAGTCCAGGCTGTCCACATGGTAGAGAGTGCTGTGGTCCAGGGACCAGTCCAGCCCGTTGGGATGCCCAGCTGGTCCAGCTGTCTGACCACCGAGCGGTCAGCGTAGAGTGTGTACAGGGAGCCCTGCCCCGGCTCCCACAGTCCTGGGGCGGAGGCCTCTGGCATGGTGCCTGGAGAGAGTGGAAGGTCAGTGGGCAGTGCCCTACCCTGCCCTGCTCACCCCACACAGACCCGCTGTGCAGAGAGCTGTGGTCACCCTCAGTCGGCGGGCAGCAGGCAGGATGGCCCTCAGGCGGCATCTGTGAGTGAGCCTCTGTGCTGGACGAAGGGGGGGACCCCAGAGATGTCCCACTGGGAAGAGGCCTGCTCAGGCAGAGGTGCAGGGCCCTCAGCCGCACGTGAATGGCCTCTGGCCACCGGCCCTGGCCGCTGCCCCACCCTGGCGGCTTCGACCCTCCCAGGGTCCTCTCTGGGCAGGGACCCAGGAAGAATGACCTGGAAGCCATGGGCTTTGGAGTGGGAGGGAACCTGTGGGCTGCCCAGCACCTGCATGGCCTCGGGGGGCCGCTTGCCCGCAGCCTGGGGAGGGCTCCTGAGGTCCCCACCCAGCCGGCACCCGCCATGATGGGAGGCTCTCCAGGTGGCCTGGGCCAGTCCTTTCAGCAGCTCACCTGCCACAAACCTCCCGGCGGGGTCCACCTTCCCGTCGTTGAACCTGTTGTGGGGCTTGTCCCTGTCCAGCCAGGCCGCCCACTCCACCTGCCCCGTCGCCCAGTCCAGGAGGCCAAGGCAGGTGCCAGAGGCCACCACGTAGCTGCCCTCTCTGCGCAGAGCCACACAGCCAACAGGGTCTCCTGGGAGGACAGAGGACAGCAGGGTGGCCCGGCTGCTGCGTCTCCAGGGGACGGTGCCACCCCACCCACGGGGCTCCCACCAGGAGGCACCGTCAGGGCACAGAGCACGTCTCAGCACAGGACCAGTCCTGCTGGGCCTGGTGGACCACCTCTCTGCACCCCCTCCCCACGACGGGCACCACAGGGCCTCCAGATGGGACTGGAGGCTGCGGAGCCTGCCTGCAGGGCCACCAGCACTCAGGAGCGGAGAGCCCTGGCCTCTCCTCATGTCAGTGCCAGTGTGAGAGCCGCGGGTGCCCCTGAGCCCTCGGGTAGGACCGCTGGGCCTGGGGGAAGGTCTCCACAGCAGGGTGCCTGAGGCCAGACACAGACTTGGGGCCAGCCCTGATCTGCAAGGGGCACAGTGGCACCTGCCCTTGGGGAGGGTGAGGGTGAGTGGGGGATGCTCCCAGAGTGCTGCTTCTGCTCCTCAGAAGGACCACGGGGTCGTCAGCCACACAGGTGTGCAAGCCCCACAGACACACAGGTACCTCCCAGGTGTGTGGGTCCACGCACACACATGAGCCTAGCTCCTGAGTCAGGACAGGTGTGTGTGTGGCAGGACAGGTGCATGAGTGGCATAACCCGGGGTCAGAGCCAGGCGTGGGCTCCACACAGCAGCCTGGAGGATGTCAGTGTTTCCAGGACTTAGTCTGGACAACAGCGACCCCGGCTTTATTCCTTTCAACTACAGCTGAACACCAGGACTTCCCACCCCACGGTCCGTCCTGTGCCCAGGGTGTGACAGCCCCCACTCCAGGGGCTCCAGAGCAGGGGGGCAGGTGCTGAGCAAGCAGGTGCCCCGGCTGGGCCCCTGCAACCCTCAGGCCACAAGTGATGCTGGACACCTATGACAAAGGTACCAAGAAGCCCTAGGACCTCAGGGGACACGGGACATGGGCAGGCAGGACATCTTCATAGCTAAACGAGCCCCAGGACCTTCGGGGACATGGGGCCCTGGGCACAAGGATGGTCTCACAGCTCCCTCCCCAGGATCACCTGGATCTCCAGGGGACCCACACTTCCTCAGGCCCACGTTCTGCAGCCCCCAGACCCACTTCCTTGTCCCACATCTGCAGCCCCCAGGCCCATTTCCTTGTCCCACATCTGCAGCCCCCAGGCCCACTTCCTTGTCCCACATCTACAGCCCCAGGCCCACTTCCTTGTCCCACTGTCTGCAGCCCCCAGACCCACTTCCTCTGGCCCAGAGTCTCCACCCCCAGACCCACTTACTGTGGCCCACCCTCTGCAGCCCCCAGGCCCACTTCCTCTGACCCACCGTCTGCAGCCCTGAGGCCCACTTCCTATGGCCCACCATCTGCAGCCCCCAGGCCCACTTCCTTGTCCCACTGTCTGCAGCCCTGAGGCCCACTTCCTCAGGTCCACTGTCTGCTGGCCCCAGACCCACTTCCTCAGGTCCACTGTCTGCTGGCCCCAGACCCACTTCCTCAGGCCCACCCTCTGCAGCCCCAAGACCCACTTCCTATGGCCCACCATCTGCAGCCCCCAGACCCACTTCCTTTGTCCCATATCTGCAGCCCCCAGGCCCACTTCCTCAGGCCCACTGTCTGCAGGCCCCAGGCCCACTTCCTCTGGCCCAAAGTCTCCAGCCCCCAGACCCACTTACTGTGGCCCACTGTCTGCAGCCCCCAGACCCATTTCCTCAGGCCCACCCTCTGCAGCCCCCAGGTCCACTTACTCAGGCCATTGGTCTGCACCTCCCCAGACAGAGGGTTCCACTGACACACAGTCCTGGCGTTGATGTCCACAAACACCACCTGCCCGGTCTCCTCTTCCCACACGGGACACTCCCCCATCCTGTGCCTCTCCCTGATGACAGCCTCGATCCTGGGGGGACGCCATGGCCTGGGAGGAGGACAGGGCTGTGAGTGCCCTGTTCCCTGTCCCATTCTCCAGGCCATCGGGTGAGGCCTGCTGGACCCTGCAGGCTGGGCGCTTCTGGGTGTGTGACACATCCTGTGGTCTCAAGGACAGCCCTCTTGTGCTCACGAAGCCTCACCCAGGCAGGCATGGGGATGCAGAGAGGGACCCAGCAGAACTCACGCCCCTCCTGGCTCCTCTGTGCCACCTGGCACTCTGCATGACCCGAGAGGTCAACAGAACGTGCAGGTGCCCTGTCACTTGAAGAGTCACCCCCTGGCAAGGTTCCAGGAGTCCCTGTGCCTTTTCCCTCTGGTGGCACAGTGTGCCCACCTCCCCCACCTTCCAGGCCCTGCAGCTACAGCCTGGGAAGCAGGGGCTGCTAAGCTGAGCTGCTGTCCAGGTGGGCCCGGCTCAGAGGCTGGGGTGGGGTGCCATCTGCAGGTGGCTGGCTCCGGAGCACACACCCTGCCCTCTCCGCCCAGGAGAGCTCTCCCCCAGAAGGGCTCACTTCTCAATGGTCCTGTTAATTGGGCTGCTGTGAGACCCCTGCGCTCCGTGGGATTCAGTTCACAGGGCCCTTCCTGGACGGCACCAGGAGGCCCAGCAGCCCAGGGCTCCCATACTGGGGCGGCTCACGTGCTCCTCAGCCTTGGTCCTGTCCTGCTCGCTCAGCTCTTGGGACTCCACCGCACTCTGGCCTCAGCCAGTTGAAGGCTCCACTGAGTGGGGGCGGAAAGTCCCTTCCGCCCTCCCCTCCCCGGTCCCTCCCTCTGTGCATCGCCAAATCAACAGAGCCCGAGGCTTCCATAGAGACCCCCGAGGTCGCGGCTAACGCCCTGCCAGGCATCCGTGAGACTTCCCCTTAGGGCCGACCGTGCGGCTCCTCAGCCCTCCTGGGTTCTCCCCTCGCACAGGGCTGCCCTGGGCAGCGGGACACTCTGCTCCTCTCCTACTGCAGAAGAGCGCCCGCTTGCAACTGGGGGTCCATGGGGCTCACCCCGGCAGGCTCACAGGGAGCACAGGCTTGGCCGGGCAGGCGCAGAGAGGGCGCAGGGGAGGCACGGGGAGCCCTGGACAAGCACATGGGGCGCTGGGCAGGCACAGAGGAATGCAGGGGAGGCACCAGGTGCCCTGGGCAGGCACAGGGGAGGCACGGGGAGTCCTGAGCAGGGACACGGGGCGCTGGGCAGGCGCAGAGGGACGCAGGGGATGCACCGGGAGCCCTGGACACGCACACAGGACGCTGGGCAGGGCTCTACTCACAGGCATCTTGTAAAGAACCGACTGCTGACCCCCGAGCTTCACCTGCTGACCCCAGCTGGCCGTGGCACCCGAACGTTCACAGGCACCAGCGCCCCCTCCCCGCGTCTTCCTCCGCCCTCTGGGATGGTCTGGGCGCCACTCCCCCAGCCTCCCCTAGGCTCCTCCAGCGGCCTCTGCCCACGTGCCACTCCAACGACTGCAGTGGGGCCAAGGACCCTGCGTCTCTCCAGTCACCACCACTTTCTGCCAGCAGGATTGCCGGGGCACTCCGCAAGGAGAGGATTTTCGCGGGAGGTGCTGCTCTCTTGCAGGCCCACGCCAAGGGTTCCTCCCGCTGTGGAGCAGGGCTTGGCACAGGAATGTCGTCCCACGTCCCCGAAAGGAGAGGTGCTGGCTTGGTGGAGGTGGAGTCCCCGCACCCACGTCTCCATGCCGCTAAGTGAGCCCAGCTCCTCCACACCCCAGGCTGCAGCCCCGGAACCCGAGGACACCAGGCTCCACGGTCCCCTCCCCATGGGCTAGAACCGGCCTTGTGGGTGAAGGACTCCCTTGGGAACCTCCTCCGCCTGGGTTCCAGCCAGCGCTCGGCAGCGTCCTCACCCCAACCCTGGTCCCAGAGCTCCTTAGGGCCCTGGACTGCAGGCGCCTGTCTGGGAGACCACCAAGGTGGGTGCTGGGGGCTGGTTCCTGCTCCCACAGCCCAGGAGAGGCCACCGCCTGGGTGGAGGGGGTCTAAAGGAAAATGGATGGAGAGCTGGACCTGGAGCTTGTCCACTCCATGAAAGGTGCTGGGGCTCTTGGGAGCACTGGCTGCAGCCAGGGGGCGCCCCCTCACCCCAAAGGCTCCTGCTCAAGGTGAGGTCAGTGTGTAGCCCTGGCTCTCACCCAGGTTGGTAGGGGCCCTCTGGTCCTTCTGATTGGCCCTCAGGGTTTGAAGACATGTCAGGCCCCCCTGCTGGGCAGCCTGCAGTTACCGCTGGAGCCGACCCCAGCATGGGTGTGACCACTCACTCTCTGGCCACAGTGGGCAGGACGCACACCTACTCTGTGGGGCTCTTGTAGGAGCAGACACCTCCCAGGACCACCAGTGACATGCAACTCTTCAAAGCTAAGGGGACATATTTAGGGAGCCATGTGGGACCCTGAGGTCAAGATGGCTGAGGTGGCCCCTGATCCATCCTGATGGCTCTCCTCTCTAAGCTCAAGCCAAGGACAGGCAGCGGCCGGACAGCGTCAGACCTCAGGACATCTTGGGCATCAGGATACAATGCTGCCTTGGCTTGGTGGGAAGGCACAGTGGGCTGGAGACAGAAACCAAAGGTGGCAGGCAGTCCCTTGGCTGGGCAGGCAGGGTGGTGGCCTCTATGCAACAGCACCTAGCTCTCCCTGAGACACACTGTGAGGGCACAGACCCCAGACGCCCTTTGCTCCCACATTCCAGGGGCCCTGGCACCAAACCAGTTGTCATGCCCCTGTGACCCCACAACAGGATGCCAGGAACCCACCCTTCTCCACTCCCTGGTGGTCCGGCTGTCCTACCTCCAGAGTGCTCATCCTCCACCTGACAAACGCTGGCCCGTTCCCAGGCCCTGCCTGGAGTCCCGGGGCAGCTTCCTTCTGCACCTGGGGCAGATGATCTCATCTGTCTCATGACTTACACCCTCCGACCTGCCCATGACTCCCCCGTTTGTAGATGAGCACACACGGGCTCCCAGATGGGACTCCATGCCCAGCACTCTGCTTGGAAGTCTATCAGGCATCCCACATGGACTGGCCCACATGCCCCTGCTCCCCTGCCTTCCTCCTCCTGACAATCACCTGCCTTCCTCCTCCCCACCTGGGATGGCTCCCCATGTCCTACCCCAGTGGGCTCAATAGCACCCCAAGTGCACCTGGGACCTCGGGATAGGGCTTCTTTTGCACATAGGGTCTCTGCAGATGTAATTAGGTAATGATCTCAAGATGACACCATCATGGGTCAGGTGGCCCTCATGCAATGGCAGTGTCCTCACTAGAGACAGAGGAGGGGACACAGGCACAGAGGAGTAGCCACGTGGAGACGGAGGCAGAGACTGCATTGAGGGGCCACCAGCCCAGGGCCACCTGGAGCCTGTGCAGGGATCTCAGCCTGGGGCCCCTGGTCTTGGCCTCTGCCCTCCAGGGCTGGCAGAGGACAGGTTCCTGTGGTTTTCAACTGCTGGTTTGTGGTCATTTCCTACATCAGCCCCAGGGTTCCCCTGCACTGGCCAAGTGCTGAAGGGCCACCTTGGCACTCCCGCCATCTGTAAAGTCCCCTCTGTAGCTGGACAAGTCATGCCTGGAGCCTGGGGAGGGAGCTAAGCCCTGTGACCCCTGGTCTCAGCCTTCTGCCCTCCAAGGCTGGGGGAGAAGATCCCACCGGACTGGGGAAATGGTTTCAGCCCCTGTGACACTTTGTTTCCAAGTGTAGGACACTAACAGGGCCATGAAATTGCATCCAAAGTTGGCCCCTCATCCCAGCCTTCCAGATGTCCTGTCCAATAGGCTCCTCCCTCCCTCCCCTCTGCTGAGCTCTGCAGCTCCCTGGGCCCCAGGTCTCCTTCCCGCTCAGCTCTGCAGCTCCCTGGGGCTCCTCCCTCCCTCCCCTCTGCTCAGCTGTGCAGCTCCCTGGGCCCTAAGGCTCCTTCCTGCCTCCCCTCTGCTCAGCTCTGCAGCTCCCTGGGCCCTGGGGCTCCTTCCCCCCTCCCCTCAGCTCAGCTCTGCAGACCCCTGGGTTTGGGAGCCTCTTCAACCATGTCTCCCTGGCACCACCCTCTCCCCGTCTGCTCCCCCAGAGCAGGAGCCTTGTGCCTAGTCAGTGTGAGCCTGTGTCCCCTGCAGTGACTCCTCTGATGTCCTGCTGCCACCCTGCTGGCATGGGGTGGGCTCCCCCACCAGAGCAGGGCTCAGTCACAGGGACAGTGTCCAGTTCTCACCCTCCTGGTGACACTCCTTCCTCCCTGTGGGACAGCTGGAGATAGTTTGCTGGACCCGGCCTGCTGGCCCCACGTCCCACTTGGCTGTCCAGAGAAGCCGTGGTGGCCCTGAGGCACCTTGGGAGCTGCAATGACCTGCGTGCTTGTGGGGAGCCCACCAGGTGGTACTCCCTGTGGGAGACCTGCTGGAGTGACTCGCTGGACCCCGACACAGGCCTAGGCCCCGGGGTCATGCCCCCTGCCCCTGGTGGGTCAGCTGGCTCCCTCTGTCCCCGAGCATGAGACCCTGCCCTCCTCTCTTTGGGTCTGTGAGTGGTGGCTCTGCTCCATCATGTCTCCTGTCTAGGAGTGGCCTCCTCTGGGGCTCAGCTGAGCACCCCCTGTCCCAACTCCTTCCTGATGGGGTTGTCACCCAGGGGCTGTGAGACAGGAAAGCACCCTGGGTCTGCCAGAGCCTCGGGTCACCTCGCCTTAGGCTGCTTCCTGGGAGAGGCACAGGGTAAGGTGGGGCTCAGGCTGTGGGTCTGCCTAGGGACAGAAGTCTCCCTGAGAGGCTCAGCGCTCCTCCATCACCAATCCCACAGCCCAGGGCCTGAGCCTCCCTCCTCCTGCGCCCAGCACTCCATGTCCCTCAAGAGCCCGGGCTGGGCCTCAGGGTCCTGCTGGAGCACTTTCCTCTCCCACGAGTGACAGGCTGACTCGTTCCCCAGGCTGCGGCCTCAACCTCCACCTGAGCCTCTCCTGAGTGACTATGGGTCCTGCAGCTGCCCCCGTCACAGCCCTGAGTGGGTCACGGTCACCTTCCATGAGCACCTGTTCATCAGACTGCCCGGCTCACCTGCCCTGTGTGTCCAGCGCCGGTAGGTCCAGGACAGCCCCGCCCACCTGACCTGTGTGTCCAGCGCGGGCAGGACCAGAACAGTCCTGCTCACCTGCCCTGTGTGTCCAGCGTGGGCAGGACCAGGACAGCCCTGATCACCTGCCCTGTGTGTCACCATGGGATGGACCCAGTCCCTGCCTGAAGGCAGACAGCAGCGCTGATGCTCAGAAGACTGCCTGTGCCTCCTGCTGGCCGCCGTCAGCCCTACACCCTGCACTGCTCACCTGACCTATGTGTCCAGCGAGGGCAGGACCAGGACAACCCCGCCCACCTGCCCTGTGTGTCACCATGGGATGGACCCAGTCCTTTCCTCAAGGGAGACAGAGACGCCGATGCTCGGAAGACTGCGCCTCCTGCTGGCCGCCGTCAGCCCTACACCCTGCACTGCTCACCTGCCCTGTGTGTGAGCAATGGCATGACCAGGACAGCCCCGCCCACCTGCCCTGTGTGTCCAGCGTGGGCAGGACCAGGACATCCCTGCTCACCTGCCCTGTGTGTCACCATGGGATGGATCCAGTCCCTGCCTCAAGGCAGACAGAGGCGCTGATGCTCAGAAGACTGCCTGCGCCCCCTGCTGGCCGCCGTCAGCCCTACACCCTCGGGGCTCAAAGCACTTCCTGCCTCTGGTCCACATCTCTGTGGTTGGGGTCCTGAAGGGCAGGCCGTCCTCTGCAGGGTCCTGGGAAACTCTTTCCTGCATCTCCCCCCCCTCAGGACCCCAGTCCCTAAGCTTGGGTCCTAATCACTCCAGTTTGTCTCCCTGTTTCCTCTGTCCCTTCTCCATCTGCCCCTCTTCTCAGCACCCTGCTGACTCCTTGGGCCCCAAGACCCTCCAGGTCATCTCCCTCTCCGCATCCCTACCTCGTCAGGTGGCAGAGGGCCTTTGGCATTCCCAGGGCCGGCAGTGGATGTGGACACTGACATTAGCGGGCCACAGAACTCATGCCCTGCGCAGCAAGGACCTCCCTAACCAGAAGAGAGTCTTTGGGAGACACTGCCCCAAAGGCATGACCCCCACAGTCCAAGGAGAGCTTCTGGGGAAAAGGGGGGCTCCCATTTGGAAAGACTTGGAACCCTGCATCCTGTAGACCTTCCCTGACCCTAGCAGCTGTGAGGTGGGGGTGCCCAGTGGAAGGTCATCTGCTTGTAGAGGGATTCGGGGCACCCACCCACCCATCCCTGCTCACAGGCCCCTGTACCCCTCCCTCCCTCTCCCTGCTCACACCCCCCCTGATCCCTCCCTCCCTGTCCCTGCTCACAGCCCCTGTACCCCACCCTCCCTCTCCCTGCTCACACCCCCTGTACCCCTCCCTCCCTCTCCCTGCTCACACCACCCTCTACCCCTCCCTCCCTGTCCCTGCTCACACCACCCTCTACCCCTCCCTCCCTGTCCCTGCTCACACCACCCTCTACCCCTCCCTCCCTCTCCCTGCTCACACCCCCTGTACCCCACCCTCCCTCTCCCTGTTCACACCCCCTGTACCCCTCCCTCTCTCTCCCTGCTCAGTCCTGCTACTCTACTGAGGGTCCCCACCTGCTGCAGAGCTGAACTCTGACCCACCTGAGTCAGTCTGTCCAAAGACACCAGCTCTTCCATGGTCTTTTGTCCAGACCGTGTCACACAGCTCCTGGTGACCGCTGCAGCAGGGTCCATCTGCCTTCATGAGACCCACACAGCAGAGGGCCTGCTGGAGCCAGTGACCACCAACCTGGGGCCTCAAGTGGAAATGCATCTTCCACGTGGCTCCTCCTCTGAGGCTGTCCCCTCTTCTGTTTTAAGGACATGGCCATTGCATGAGGGCCACCTGACCCAGGGGAGCCCATCTCAGGACCCTTTACTAACTACCTCTGCAGAGACCCTGTTCCCACACAAGGTCCCACTCACAGGTTCTGGGGTCAATATGTGGACAGGACCCGCCTGTTTCAATGGTGTCCAGCCCCCTCCACAGGCTCCAGGGAGGCTCCTCCTGCCTCTCCAGCTCCTGGGTTCCAGGTGGCCTTGGCTGCTGGCCCCTCACTCCAGTCTCTTCCTCCATCTCCATGTGGCTCCTCCTCTGGGTCTGTGTCCCCTCTTTCTCTCTTGGGAGCACAGTGGCATTGCATGAGGGCCCCGTGTCCAGGAGGAGCTCATCCCGAGACCCTTCACCTATTACACCTGCACAGACTCTTTCTCCAGCAGCAGACAGCTCACAATCCTGGGGGACGTTCCTGGTGGGGCCCATCCATGCCTACAACGTCACCTCGGGAGATGGCCAAGGTCAGTACCCTGGTATAGACAGCAGTGGGGACAGGTGGGGGCCTTGGAGACCAATGGTACAGAAAGCCCCTCCTGGTTGGGGGGATCCAGAGCCCACTCTGTCTAAAGGTGAAGTTGCCTTGGAAAAATTCAGCTGCCCTTTGCCCAGGAAGAGGGCGGTGCAGAGCTGAGGCCCTGGGCAGCTGCTTCCTCTGGCATTTCCCTGTGGAGAAGGTCTCCTAACAGATAATCACAGCCCAGCAAGACAAAGCAGGAGCACAGGCAGGTGCCTGGACTGCCAAACAAGGCGGCTCCAGCAGGTGGACGGCAGCCTGGGGAGCCATCAGGGGCCCTTCCGAGGGCTTGAGGACCTGAGTAGGGCTGAGTCCTTCCCGCGTGGGCCGGGAAAACGGGAATTGGGTCTTAGCTGGGTTTGTGGGCCAGGTACCTTTGTTGCTAGGGCAAGTCTAATTTCTGAATGGAGAGTCCCACAGACAGGGCTGGAGGCGGGGGCCTCCTCCACCGGGCGGCCTTGAAGACAGGTGCCCTCCAAGGAAAGTGCCTCGTCTACTGTCTGGGGTGTGCACACAAGTGCTCCTCATGGTCACTCTCATGGGAAGCCAAGGTCACTGAGGAGGATCCGGTGTCCGGTGTGTATACTGCAGGAGGACACTGTGTCCCGAGTGTGGGCTGGAGGAGGACACTGTGTCCGGAGTGTAGACTGGGGGAGGACACTGTGTCCCCAGTGTCGGCTGGAGGAAGACACTGTGTCCTGAGTGTAGGCTGCAGGAGGACACTGTGTCCCGAGTGTAGGCTGGAGGAGGACACTGTGTCCCGAGTGTAGACTAGAGGAGGACATGGTGTCCGCAGTGTAGACTGGAGAAGGACACTGTGTCCCCAGTGTAGACTGGAGGAGGACACTGTGTCCGAGTGTAGGCTGGAGGAGGACACTGTGTCCCCAGTGTGGGCTGGAGGAGGACACTGTGTCCCGAGTGTAGACTGGAGGAGGACGGTGTGTCCTGGGTACATTCACGACCCCATCCCTGCCAGGACTCTTCAGGCTCTGTGCCCTGGACTCCATGAGATCTCTGAGGGGTGTCGGGCTGGGTACTTCTGCAGGGAGGCTTCCTGAGGGACACAGGCTCCCACGTGTCCTCTTCCCACTCTGACCACAGAAGTGGAAGTGGTATTCCTCTGGCTGTTCTCAGGCTACACCTGACCTGGGCCGACCCTACGAGGTCCCCGCTGAAGGCCGGACCCACACCCCGGGCCTCCACCACGCCCCACTGCCCCGCCCCAGGACATCCCCCGACGCGCCTGCCCGCCCTGGGCTCTGCCCTGCCACCGCCCCTGACTCCGCTTCCCGCCAGGTCATTCCGGACCCCAGGGCCTCCCTCCTCCAAGCCTGCGCCGCCCCCACTCTCCGCCGGACCCAGAT